TAAAATCAGAAATAATTAATCAACACCATATCATATCAAATATATTCGTAAATTGCAAGTTATACTATATTTAATATTTAAATTAAAAGAAAATTGTATAATATCTTTTTTAATTCAGAATATTCTAAAAGATAAGCTTCACTTAAGGAAAATATTTAATATGTATTGGGTAAAATATTCCAAAACCTATGATCAATCCAAATGTTCGCATCACCCAACGTCATGCAAGTACACCCCAACCCCAATGGGTTTAGAGAGCTTGGATTTACAATCCACACATGAACGCGAAACACAATTTTAACTCAAGTCATTTAATGACAAACAAGTGGGTTTGTGTATATAAATCATTTTTTGCTTAATATTCTATCAATGTGGGATATGAGTTTTATATTTTCTTACACAACACAATTCACATGTAACATACTTCGAGCATCAATTTCTCATTCATCACTCAACCATTTTGAGTATATGAGATATCGTTATAAAGATCTCACGTAGTAGAATATGAATCAATAAATTCATTATTCGATTATTCATCTTTACACTTAGAAAATGTGCCTCAAAGTTTCTAATTTATCACATTTTTTCAACTATATATATATATATAATATTGATGTAACCGACCAAAGCTAAAGAACAATGGGTCCTCTGGACAGGGTAACATGATTAAAACTTAGAGCCAATTATGCATTTAGTACTTAAACTATTAGTTTTGATTTAATTTAGTGCCTAAACTTTTATTTATTTAAAAAACTATACCTAGAGTTTAGTTTTTGTTTCATTGTAGTACCCTTGTTCAAAATTTAATGTTAATTTTGAAATAGATTGAAAGTTTATGTACTAAAACGAACCAAAATTGATAATTTAGGTACTAAACGCGTTAAGCTTTTAACAATGGGGGTACTAAAATAAAACAAAAACTAAATATTAGGTATGGTTTTGAAAAAATTGAAAATTTAGGTACTAAATCGGACTAAAACTAATAGTTTATGTACTAAATGTGTAGTTTACCCCAAAACTTAAGAGAATGACTCCCTTCGTACTCTTTTGATTTATTTTTGGCATTTCATAATCATACAAATCGGATTATACATAGATGACAAGGTTTATAATTTCAATACTATAAATGATTTTTGGGGAAAAATCAACATTAAATTATTTAAATTATTAATTAAATATTATTCATGATTATATATAAAAAAGGGGAATCTAATTACACTGTGTAAAATTAGTGTAGTTTTGTACATTTTTAAAATCATTGAATGAGAGAAATTAAAAACTGAGATTAACAGTAGAAATTGAGAAGACATCACCAAAAAAATGAGTTGATATCAACCTTTGATGTAACATCCTCAATACCGGGTTAGTGACCAAATTAAAATATTTCAGAATTTTTTGGTCAAAGTAAAATAGTTGAATAGTTCAATGATTTATTTGAGAATATTTCCATAAAGTTGTTAGTAATTATTAAAGGAATTAAAGGGTAAAATGGTCATTTGTCATAAAAGATATTTTTTTATCTCTTTAAGAAAAGATAAACACGTTGGGGGAAGAGTATCTGGAAAACTCTTCTTCTTCTTGCTTTCTTCTTCTCTAACGTGTTGAGAGAAGGTAGTTTCTATTTAGTTGATTATTTGTAGATTTTATAGTTGGGTTTTGATCATTAGGTGATAACTAAGCTTAAGGAAAGCTTAAGTTATCTTAAAGTCAAAAGATGAAGAAGTTACAAAGATTAAAGAGAAGAGTTTTTGAATGAAATTTTGAAATATAGTTGATAAGTTGAATTTGAAGATAAATTTGACTTGTCATCAATCTAATTAACATGTATGAAGTGCTAGAATTGGATTTGTAACATGTTAAAATTTGGGTGTAATTCTTGAATTACATATGGAGAATAGAATTTTGATGTTAAAGAGGTGATTAATGAATAGAAATGAGTTTGAATATGAGTATGTAAGTTAAGAATTAGAAAGGGGATGATATATGAAGTAATTAAGCTGAAAAGAGTGGATTTTCGGGCATAAATTGGAATTTTAGGCTATGTGCATCGATGCACATTCAATGTGCACCGATGCATCAAGGGTAAATTTCCAGAAATTGTTCAATGTGTATCGATGCACAAAGAAGTGCATCGATGCACCCCTTAAAAATGGAAACATCAAATGCAATTGGTGCATCGATGCATAAGGAGTGCATCGATGCATCCCCTTAAAATGAAAACATCGAAGGTAATTTGTGTATCGATGCATGGGTAGTGCATCGATGCACATGTTAAAGAATGCATCGATGCACTTCAAGGGGAAATTGAAATAGACATTTCTCTTGGTCTAAGAAATGATAGATTAGAGTATATTAATTGGATACTAATATGTATCAATGTATGATTATGTAGATATCGAACACGAACAAGTTCCGGTACAATTATCAAGTCAAGATTCGATCGAAAGAAAGGAAATCATAAAAGTGGATTGGAACTCAATGAGGCTCAGGTGAGTGCATATTAGATCATATATGATATAAAATGGAAATAAGACTTGCGACAAGTCTATTTCCTATAGTGTTATGCATAAATTCATGAACATGAACATGTGTTTGTTATGAATTATATGTTGTTGTAGGTATGATATGACTTGTATGAATATATGTTTATATAATGAATAAAATGCATATATGATATATGAATATAAGAGATTAAGTGAATGAGCATAGATGATATGCAGGATTATATAAGAATAAGAATAAGAATAGGATGTGATATATATGTTTATGAGAAACCATGCAAGTGATATGAACTATGTGATATGAATATGTGAAATATGATACAAAGTGATATGATTATATGGTCACAAGAGATAAGAGACAGGTGAAAGTGAACTATATGATTATATGAATATGTGACATGATATATTGTTAATGCCCATGTTATGTGTAAAGAGAGCTAGAGGTATAGTTGGCATGCCAAAAGTTGAGGGTCTACGTGGTCCTTTGGGATATATATGTATCATTTGGAACATTTACAGGGTCTCTTGAGATAGATTTGATTCACTGAAATATATGTGTATGGTTCTTAAGGAGTGGTCTTTCGGGACAAATACAATACATAGGTCCTTCGGGACAAATCTCATAGCCCCTAGTGGGACCCCATACGAGCTATGGTGATAGCATAGTGCACAACCTCCATAGACTCACATATCTACAGTTCTCAGAAATATACATGGGCTAGACAAAGATATAACAATAAATATATTACATGTGAAGAATATGCTTTTGTGATATATATTGATTTGTGTATTGCACGAGTCATATGATGATATGTGTATTGTTTGGTTACACGAAGCATATGTTGGTTAAAAAGGTTAGGTTCAAGAGGATATGATCAACACATATAAATGATAATAATATGGATAGTGAAATAAGATTAATGAAGTAAATGATGAGTCTATGTTTCTGTGTATATTTGATTATACGTAATGTTATATTGTTTTGGGTGATAGCATAGTATGATATGTTCAAGCATGGTTAAGAAGTTAGAGTTTCTCTTATAAGTTTAATGCCTCAATAAGTCATAGGCTTAGCGTGTGAGTGTTTCACACGTAGGTTCTGGAAAGCAAAGTGAGAAGCTAAGAGGAGCAAGACAGGTCAGCATTTTCCTTACAAAGTTTCAGATCAGAAAATATATGATTTAAATGTGTTTGGTTAATCTAAATATAGTTGGCATATACTAATTGATTGAGTTGAATATGCTCTGATCGATTTTGGTTATTTTGGTCAATTTATGTAAATAAACAGTTTTTATTTTAATGAAAGTTTTAAATTTTCTTTGAATTTTGTCAAGAGTCGAAATTTGAAAAGTCAATGTGACACCTCAGACTCGTATTCGGGTCGGATACGGGTTGAGGGTGTTACATTTGATGTCCCTCAATCCAATGGTCTTAAAAATATATAAAACTAAAAGAGTTTTAGACAGAATAAATGAATACTAACTCATATAAAAATATATTAAATAAAAATATTAGTTTATTTTTATAAACATATTTAATAGTATTAATATAAAAGTTTTATTTTACTTATAATAAAAATTAAATATTTAGTTAAATTAAAAATTCACGATTAAATTAAAATTGAATATAAATTACAATAGAATTAATTAATACAAAAAAATAGGCAGAGTCCAGATTTAAACTTTACAAAGGATATTCATGGGAATAGAAGTTAAAAAATGCTGAATTTGATGTGAAGCTTTTCACTTGAAGGTTAAAAAAACAAAGTGGTTTCACATGGATTGACAATTGGCACAGATGATGTCATTTTTCACCATTCCCTAGCCCTGAATTTGATGGTATTGCTCCCATCAAATCACACCGCCATTCTTATAACCTTATTCCCACCTTCTAAATCATCATCACCATCATCATCATTGTTCAACTCAAGCAAATGAAACTAAAATCTCAGAGCAATATTGCCCTAAGCAAACCCTGAACACCAACTATAAGAACTCCAACAAGTGATGAGCAGTTTCCCAGTTAAATGATCGGTTCCAACTTCGGCCAAATGCATGCCATTGTAAGCAATCAGAAAAAGGAAATCAATGTTTGCCTCTAAATGTTAAAAGGCTTTGGTCTACTGATAGTCCACTTCTGGGAATTTGCTTGTACCTTCGTCGAGGTTTCCCCCACATGAACAGTTCATTTGTAGCAGTCGACATCATTAAACCAACATGGTTATACAGTCATTATCATCTACGCTTTATCCTTTGAAACCTAAACAACTTTGGACAAAGAGCAAAAGCAGATGAACCCTGTTTTTGTTCAAAGAGATTTTCACCAAAGGCACTAGAATCCAGAGCAGCTAACGAATGGTTGTAGTTGTTAATGCCTTTTTCCATGAAAGATCATATATTTCATTCATTAATTAACATTTTCCGCGTGAATTTCCTTGAATTGAGTTAATTAGAATGGCAACTTTTAGGAATCCCCCCAAGTGAAAATAAATTATGCATTTCTACAACATGATTAAGTCCAATGTTTAAAAGGAGAGGATTGCAATTGCAATATGCAGAAACCACACCACACCATAAAGATTCTAAATCATTAGCCACATTTCTTCTATTGCATCAAATTTAAATCTTAACAGATTTCCTCAACCATATCTAATCCATCAATGAAGGAGGCTCATCCAACCATTGTGCGCTTGCGACCCCTTAGCCGTACTGCAGTTCATTGTGAAACAACAAGAACACAATAAATGAGATTAGGGATGAGATAGATACAGGAGAAAAGGTCCTACTAAACCTAAAAATGGAGCGCTCCTAGAACGGATAGGAGAATGTAGTAACTTGAGCTAGCTTGTTCAATGTGGAACACCACTGCTTTGAAGACTTCTTGTATGCAGCAAGTATGAGATCCATCTATGCATCAATTTAGGCACCAATTAGATGATAAGGTTCACCCGAATGACCCTTTCTAGGATCTCCATTCGGTTCCGAAATTGCTTAGTTAAACTGACATGTAAACCCCGGATTTCATTGGGATTTTAACGAATCTACTACGAAATGAAGGCTAATCTTCTGAAACACTGACATGTGCTTGCATACATGATGATTTAACATATAATGTGTTCATTATCAAACACAAGCTTCGAAGAAGAAGAAAAAGAAAAGAAATGGTTGGTTTCTTACCACATTCCCACACGAAGAATGCATCGAAATCAAGGCTCGTTCAAGAACATACAAGTCAACAGCTTTGTCTTCTGGAAGCGTTGATGTAAAGCTTAGACCAAAGTCGATAAGGACCTAAAGAAATAAAAAAAAAGGAAAAACGGAAAGGTCCGTTTGAGATGATGCAAAAGGTAATTAACCTTGAAGCTAATGCAGAGACCCAAAGTTAATTTAAGAAAAATGTAACTACTGACGAGCTTATTGGATTCATCTCTGATTAACATGTTTGACGTGGTGAGGTCACCGTGAACAAGTCCACCGTCGTGGAGTTTGCCAATTGCGTCACCAATTTGGGTGGCTATATCGGCTAACCGTTCTTTAACGACGCCGTTTGACCAGAATCCGAGGAAAACGTCTTTAACGGAAGGGCCTCCACGTACTCGAAAGTCAGGGTATGGAGCACGGGGTCGACGGCATAAAGAACCGGAGTTGAAATGCCGAGCCGTCGATCCTTGATCATGCACCTAGCTTCCTGCTCACGGAGCAAAATACAAAAGCACTGATTTTTATTCGATTGGACTTAACAAAAACATGGAAAATGGTTTGGGAGGGCAAAACGAACCGCGTTTAGGCGCTTGAGAGTGAGCTTAGAATCGAGAGAAGGGTGTCTGTATTTCTTGGAGAAACGCTCTTTGATGATGGACCTTTTTCCCGCCAATACTGACTCGAAAACTCTCTGCAAATGGGAAACAAAACAATGGAATTGAACAAAAATCGGAACGTACGTTCTTACCTTTTTGTATCTTAGAAATCATTTTTGAACTTACAGCTTCAGCTCCTTGCTTAACCAGAACGAGGGCGTTGTTTTCAGAACCAGTTTCGGGGTCGATCTCCATTAGGAAAGTTTACGTTACGGTGATCAGCAACACAACGACGAAATTCTTCGGCTACAAGTTTGAGATTTAGCAGGCGGCTGTAGCGAGGGAGTTTTTCTTTTTTCTTTTTTAAATTAGGGTTCTAATTTTCTTTTGGGCCCTCAAGCTCTGGAAACCCAAAAGAAACAATATGCCATATATAGATTCCAAAATCGAGTAAACATTCCACCGAGTTAAGTTGAATCGAATTAAAAAATTCGAGTTATTCGAATTGAGTAAAAAAATTTAATTGAATCGAAAAGATTGGATTTTCGAGTCAAACCGGATTTTATCTCCCAATGTTCCATTTCATGCATCTTTTATCTCCATCGACATTTATACGGGAAAAAGGGTATATATATATATATATATATAAACTTGACATACGTGATGAACAATACGGCTGTATTCATGTGCAGTATAGAAATCAGTGACCTGTTCTCGAAAAACCAGCTAGAACCAAATAATCAACTGTTTCATGTTCTCTGGGAACTAAAACATATGTACGGCAAAACAAACGAATGAGGCTAAAGTTTAATCACGGGCCTCGGCGGGTGAAACAGAAACAGCCAGGAGATTGGTCATCAGGTATCATGCCACCCCCTTTGCTCGTATCTACTGCTTCTAGCAACCTCACCACCTCATCCATGTCGGGCCGTCTGTCGGGGTGCCCGTCCCAGCATTTCCTCATGATGCTTGCTAATGATCCGGGGCAACACCTTGGAATTTCGGGTCGTAAATTCTGCAACCAACGATATCCAATGTCGTTAACGTGTATACCGTCAGTAAATTCGACCGAAAGTATCGGAGGCAAGAGTAAAGATTCGAGTGCAAAGGTCCACTGGTTTTGCCGAAAAAATTACAACTTCGAATTTGATTACCCCATCAAGTAAGTTCTAGAATTTTAACACGTACCTGTGCTACTACAGCTGATGAGACTTCGGCAAAACTAAGATCGGCATAGGGCATATCACAGCAGTATATTTCCCACAAGCAAATTCCGAAGCTGTAGACATCGCATTTCCTATTGTAAGGCTTCCCATCAAGGACCTACAAGAACCAGTGCGTTACGTTCTCTTCTTTAGGTGATCAACTGTTTTTGCGGGTGATCGGAAAAGTTCGCGTCGTTACACTACTTATTTGATACTTAAATCATACGGTCAATGGATGTTGAAGGAGTGGATACCTCTGGAGCCATGTAACCAAGGGTGCCTGTTTCCCCGGTCATATCTCTTGGATTCTGAGCTTCAACTCGAGCAACACCAAAATCGGCAATTTTCAAATTTCTACGAGAATCTAACAACATATTTTCTGTCTTGACATCGCGGTGTACAATCTTTTTGGAGTGAGATAGCTCAAACTGCAGAAGTTGAGCAAAACACATCCATTAGCTTTACAAAGGCTAAAGGGGAGAAAACCTAATACACCTAAAACATTTACTCACCCTCTAGACAGGTCCAACGCAAGTTGAACCACCACCTTAAAGGCAAGCTTCTTCCTCCTGTTTCGGATCAAAAAGTTCTTTAACGTCCCACCTGGAAGGTACTCGACAACAACACAGCATGCTCTGGAAGGAAGAGAATTGTTAATCCCGCTTGTCGAGTCTTTGGACGGGATCTTAAGGTTGGAAGTTCCCATTGAAGCTCCAATAAACTGAAAATAAAAACAAACAATAATTCATGATTCGAACATTGAAATTCAAAACAATCAAAAGAATTAAGTCATGATACTGTAATAGCAACAACAGCCATAACTCGTAACAATAGAAGAAGCTCGGGGAAAAGGTAATGACATCTTCCCATGCTTACTAAATTATAAATTGGCTTTACCTTTGTAACATTTGGGTGGTCAAGCTTATGCCAAACAGCAACCTCCTGCCGGAAAGATGCACGAAGAGCAGCAGCTTCAGCGGCTGTGGCGATCCCATCCTCGCCCCAATCCAATACCTTCACTGCAAAAATTAAGAACCTTTTTGTAGTTAGGATATCTGGAAACCAGATGTTTTCTCAAGAACATTATATTGCAGTGAAAAACATGTTTTCGTATCGAATAGGAGCAGAATATAGGCTGCAAGTCATATAGAGTACATGATTCGACATTAGTGATGACCGCCCCTAGGCACGTGTTCAAATCAAGCATCAGAAAGTAAATATGATATCAAAGTACTGCCATCTAAAGAACTCAGTGTAGAGAAGCAATTCGGAGCAATAAGTCGTTCGAACAGAACAAAAGAAACCGACCCGACGCTGCTGGTCCCTTTATGCAGAATTTCATTGCAGAAGCAAAATATTCATTGAAATCAAGATTAAAGTTTTGCAATTTCAAAGTAAAAAGGCATTCTCATTTGCAAACAGAGAAAGAGCAAATTATCGCATTCAATTAGATGTACTGTGACTCACCTCAAGCTTCAAGCACCGTTTATTCCACAAACTAATCTGTAGTATACATATGATCCTACGCTATAATCAAACTTAAATATACGAATTCATCATCATCATTTATTACAAGTTTGAAGTTTGAACAACTAAGAATTTGTATTTGAACCAGTTAAAACAAGTAAAAGAAAAATAAATATTGTCAGGTTGGGCAAAAATAGCTGTCAATGATGAACAACAAACGGAAAGATGAACACTGAATTTTGAAGAAGAAAAAAACATATGAATATGATTACCTGCGACATCTTGGTTATCATAAACACCACGATAAACAGTTCCATAAGTCCCATGAGCTATAACCTGCCTGATATCGAGTTTAGCCAAACCAATCTCCCACTCTTCCTTCTTCGTCACAGCCGAAACAATTCTGTCGCTGGACCAAGCCCTGCTCAAGTGCTTATCCAGTTGCAAATCCCAGTTCTTGAAATCTATCTTATCAGCTCTAGTAAACAAATCCTTCTTGTTGCTAACACTTCCTGCACAAGACCCCAAGGCCTCATCCTCTGTTGGGTTTGTTGTCCCCGTTGTCGCCACAGCTTTAGCCTCATCACCCTTGTCTGTCGCCATAACGATAAACAGGTAGAAACCCCCCAAGAAAAAAACACAAAAGAATTAATCAAACAACGATAAACTGATCAAAAAAACCATAGCTTTTTAGTCTGAAAAGGATGGAAAAGAAAGGTGTGTATATTATGTAAGGTACAAAGGTGGGAAGGTGAAGAAGAAAGAACGGGATTTTTCAACTAAAGGTAAGATTTTTTTTTTTATTATCAAAAAGGCAGGGTTTTCGACCTTACATAAATATGGAATATTATTTAGAGCATAGAATAGTATGACGTATTTTCTTCTTCTTTCAAATTCGACCGAGGAAAGGAATAAAAAGAAGAACAATGATCATTATTAAATAAGGGTCTCTGATAAAAGGTATAACAACTTACTTTTTATCGTATATTATTTAATTAGATATGATTTATGTGTTTAATTTATTTTTTAATTATAAATATTTATTATAATTTTACTTATTTTTAATAATACTAACAACTTTTATATGTATAAAAACAACGATCAATAATCATTAACTAACAATTAATTTAATAGAATAAAATATTAATTTTTCAAATTAAAAAATGTCTTATAATAGATTGTTATAGAATCTAATTTAAAATAACAATAATTTTTTTATTATATGATATAAAGTAGTATTTATTTTAAATACTTTCAATCATTTAACAATAAACGTTCTATCACCCTGCTTCAGCCGTCGGTATTCGAACACGTAACCTCTAAAAAATAATCATGATTTCTTTAACCAGTAAGATAAGTTAGACTCGTGCTACATCTCAATGAATTCTCAAAATAATAATAAGTAAATCTAATATAAATGATGATAACAAAAAAAAAATTAAACCATGTAGTCATTATTTCCAATCCCATGGGCACATATGTACCGTTAGAGAGCATTCCAGCACCAGGAAAGAAAAATCAAAGCAGATTAAGAGAATTACCTTTACTTCCTTCTCGGAAACGGCCTCCGCCTCGCACGTGGGTTTTCATTTCCATTAGAAATCAACAACAAACACCTTCCGTGGTTGACGTCAAACTATAACAATAATACTTATTATTTGTACTAATATTATTCCTGGATGTCTAAAGACAATTTGATATAAGATTAAGAAAATATATAATCGAAAATATTAATCTTGTTTTAATATTTTCGGTAGAATACTATCTAAAATGTTAATCTTTTTAACGTTTTCGGTTGTAATTGGAAATATTATGAAAAAATTAATATTTTCGTTTGTAACCGGAAACGTTAAAAAATTAACATATTAAATAAAAAAAATTAATATTTTAGATAGCGTTCTATTAAAAATATTAAAAAATATTAATATTTTCAATTACGATTATTAGACTTATATTAAATTGACGTAGTGGAGAACTACCGATTATTCCCTTTTTCATTCTTTCTTTATTTATTAAAAAAGGCACAAAAATTAGTCGAGCTTAGTTGACTTTTTCATATTAGTGTTTGATTAAATTGGAATGGGAATAGTAAATTCCGAGCTGTGCCGTTGTCCCTTGTAGGGTCCTCTGAATTGAAGTAATCGACGACTGACTGATTGGTGCGTGACATTCGTTTTTGCATTTTATGTATACAGAATTTAGCTTTATTTTTATTTTTTGTTTTTGAAAATTAACGTCATAAATTATTTTTAAAATTAATTTTGTGAGATTAAGTTTAAGATTTTAATGTTTAGTATTATTATAAGTATTTTTAATAAATTAATTTTTTTCAGATATTATATTATAAACTTAAAATATATTAATGCAATTTATTTTAAAAATAATATTTAAATATATCAAATTAAATTATAAAAAGTTATAAATGATAAATATAATTATAATAAAATAAAAAATGAATTTAAAAGTTTTTTTCGTACATCAATATATAATTTATAAAAAAATTAAAAAATAAAAAGAGATTATGGACAAATAAGTGTACATGCATCACATCACAGTAAGGGTACAAAATATAACTTTATTTCTCACAAGAAATTTAAAATGAAAAGTTAAAAAATTATAACTTTTACGATTAGTTTAAA